CACGTCCTTCTCCCCTCCACGGGCATGCCCCAAGGGTTGCTCACCTGCCCTGTGTTCACCAGCTGCTTCCAAACCCAAACTGTATATCACAGGCAAGATCTCTGTGCTGCAAAGCTTAGGCCTGCAAGCTCCAGTCCTGGCAAACTGGTCAGATAACAGAGCTTTAGGGAACTGGATCCATGAGAGCTTTGGCCATCTTGGGAAGTTTCTCTTGTCACACCTCTTGGGTTCCCATCTGCACCAGCCTTTCTCCAGCCTCCACTCATCTCACATCAAGCTCTGCCATCATAACCTTTTACCTCCCTGTTCCCAGGCACCCGCACTGCAAGAGCAGCTCTGCTTTTGCTTCAGCCCATTCCCTCTGTCAGCTTCAGAGGAAGTCTGGAAAATGTGAGCCACCCCGAATGAGTCTGTTAGTAAATGCTTTTCTTTTCAAGGGGGTAAAAACCATTTGCAGTTTCTAAACTCTGATTCATAATCATCCGGACCTGGTTTGTGATCTTGGAAAGCTTTTGACTCATGACTCTGTTGCAATTCCCCAGGGCACTGGTGGTTTTTCTCAGTAGATCAAACCTTTATCAACAGGACATTTCCAGCTCTGATGAAACAAGTTCTCCTCCAGCTTGTCATGGATGGGCCATCCCAAGGAGGTAGGTGGGCTCCCAAATTTTTGTTCCTCTTCAAAGTAATTTTTCATTCATTTGCAACATTATATTGCATTAAAAAAAAAAAAACAAAAAAAAAAAAAAAAACCACTTGAAAATTGCTTTGATTTGGCCAAAAGGTGGTGCAGATATCCCACCTGCAAAAGGGGGATGATCTCTTCCTGCTGATTTACCCACAGGCAGACCTGATGGCTCAGAGTATCCATCACTACTTCCCCAGCTGTCCCTAGAAGAGCTTTCAGGAAGCCTGGACATTCCAGCAAAAGGGTTTGCAGAGCTCCTCTGTTCCACAGTGCCTATGGTAGCCAGCATCCAACATGGTGACTGCCCCACTCCAGCCCCTCCTTGGAGCTTGCCTGTCCTCCCCATTTCCCCATGCTGGGGGCTGTGCTCAGCAAGTCACACCGCATGCCTGACTCATTTTTCTCTACTCCTCCAGCTGATGTGTTTGGAGGAACACACTGCTCTGACAAGGTGACACATCCCAAGAAAGCCCACACTGCTGAAGACACCTCCCTGCTCCCTCTACCAGGAGCACCCAGCGCCATAGCAGCTAACAGCTCTTTTTCATCCCTCCCTGCTCAAATCAGCCCTGAGCAATTCTGTTTGGTTTTCCAGAGAGATGTAGAATATATGTCAATCAGACAAGCCCTGAAATCCCACATTTTGAAGGCATCTTACAAACATACAGGTGTCAGTAGAGGCGTTTGGGAAAGAAGGGCAATTGCTAACAGAGAAATTGCATTAAAAACCTCGTGCTTGAGTGCAGCAGCATTAGCAGCCTATGTTGTCCTCCATTTGACAGAGGCTGCTGCCCCTGAATCAGTTGGTTTGGCTCCGTTTGTTGTAGAATAACCAAGTTCAGCTCGTTGTCTTGCATGATGTGGAGTTTGTTCTACACATTTCAGTAGCAAAACACTTAATCTCAAACAGCTCTGGGAAGGGTCATTAACATGAAGTTAAGTCACTGCAAATCCAACATGAGCTTAAGCAATCAGAGGATGAGAAGCGTCCAGGAGGCAGATGGTCCCTGCTTTGATGCATCTGCCTTGCAGAGGAAGGAAAGATGAAAACTACAGCATCATACATACCTGCAGTGTTCCAGGAACCAACAGTTCTCATTTGCAGATCAACTTTTGTAAACACCGAGGATTTACCCACCAAACTCAAGTTTGGAAATGTGCCTGAATGTTTCCAAGGAATCTGAGGAAAGATATTTCTTTTTCTGGACAATCAAAACTATCACATTTCCTGGCTACAGTGAGATTCTCTAAACTGGAAAATGTGCAAACATGTTTTACTGTGAGTGGGCACATCCCAAACAAGGATAATCAGAGAAACTCTTTTCAGCACTGCTCTATTTACATATGTTAAAGACTGAAGAGGAAAATTTTATCCCCAGTTGGCCTGCCATAACCATAAACACCCTTAGTAAGTCTTTTTCCAGCTTTGGGAAGTGACACCAAAGCACCTATTGGCACTGTCTGCTTTACTGGAGGAACAAAAGAGACAGTGCTGGACTGAAATGAATGTCTTTCATCTCCAACAAATGGCCATATCTCACTCCTCAGAGAGTAATACTTTATCCCAGCACCCAAAGGGCTTCTGCCTGCTCGCAGAGATTCACCAAGCACCCAACCTGGCTGCTCACAGAAGCTGAGGGGGTCACAGCCAACGCCAGCTTTAAGTAATCCATTAATGAAATGCAAAATGCCATCCAGAGTAGTTCTTACAGAAAATGGTCCTTGGGAGAGCAGAGGGAAACCTAAGTGAGAGCAGGAAAAGTCTCCATCTCTGTGTAAGCACTCTCACAGGGCACGTTTTTGGCAAGTGAAGCATCCTCCAGGGCTGCATTTGGATTGGGGTCTCCCTTGGACAGCAGGGCAGCAGCCTGAGCCGAGATTTCTGTCTCACAAACAGCTCCTTGAATTGCTCTTGGCATTGACTTTTTCTGCTCAGCTAATTAAAAATCTGTCTTTGAGTCATAAGCCCCCATTAGTAATAATTTGCTTTGCACTTCTCCAGTGATTTATGGCTGAGATATCAAAGTGCTTTAGAAACATTAATTAATCCTTTTAATACCCTAGGGACTGATCCACTGTATGCAGCGCACCACTGCAGGAGTAAATGCAGGAGATCCCCAGGGCTCACTGGAGCCCGCAGCCAGGAAGAGGGGCAGGGAGCAGCACCCGACCCGGCCAGCTCAGTTCAGCCTGCGACCAGAGAGAGGGGCAGGCAGAATCACAGCTCTACACGTGCAGCCGCAGGAAGCCTGAGGCACATGCGGGCTCTCTGCCCTCCAGCAGCGGTTCCTGCTGCCGCCTCCATCTGTCCAGGCAGAACCCGTTACTGTGACGGCTGTGAGCCCTGCGAGTGGCAGAGCTGGTCAGCAAAGCTGCACACTCGTGGAAAGGGGAGTCCGGTTCATGTGGGTGTTCCCTTGCTTTTCTGACCATTTCTCCAGCCTGGCTCTTGTACAGCGTCATTTCTTCCCTGCAGCCCCATGCACAGGATGTGGCTCCAGCCCTTGTTATTGATAAGGATTGTGACCACCACTGGCTCTGGGAGGCTCTGATCCTTGTGCCATTTGCCACCTGTTGTTGTCCCTGTACTTTCACAGTCGCCGTCATGACACTGTGGGGTGGAGCTGGCCATGGAGGGTGGTGCCAGCGATGGGAAAGTATAAAGGTCTCTGCACAGGTGGCTGGAGATGGCATCTCAGTGATCCAGAGCAGTGTCCTCTGTTTCCTCTTTGCTGTCTCCAGTCGAGCATCACCTTGACCATGAAAACAAGTGCTGTTTTCCTGCTCCTCTTCCTAGCAATTGGTTTCACCCAAGGTGAGTGCAACATTTTGCTTAGGAGCCATTTCATTTCCTCTCCCTGCTCCAGCTCCAAGCCTGCTGCGTGGGAAGGCAAGCCTGGGAACAGGCCAGCTGTGCTGCGGCCTTGCTGCTGGGCAGTGAGCAGCAGTGCTCCCCAGAGAGTGCTGCAATGTCAGCAGGCACTAAAGCAGTGTCTGCAAGCAAGCCTAGAGAAGTTTTAAAGGTGCTTGACTCCCAGTGAGCAGAGCTGCTGGGCTGACACTCTTCCCATGGGGTTGGAATTTGGTGGGAGCTGGTGATTCCTAGGATGGTGCAATTGTTTTAGAATAAATAGGTGTTATTCTAGTTGTAAAGAAGTAAAACCAGGAAGACAGGAAACAAGTCTATAGAAGGGAAAATGCAGTTCTTGTTTCCAAAGTCAATGTTTAAGCCAACTGTGTTTTCAAAATTCCATATGGTGCAGAGGGATGAGAACACGAGTTGTTGCTGCTCTCCAGGTCCCGCTCACCAGGGATTTCTGCATTAGCAAGTTCATTCCCAATGCTTCTGAAGCCAGCCCATCATCCTATTTTTTTGTGCTGTGGTTGCCATTGCAGAACAGTTTGAGCACAAAACATGGCCTCCTTTTATATGAACCAAGCATGTACAGATCCACAGCTCCTGGGACTGCACTGGTGCTCATTCAGAGTAAAACCCCTCAAGCACAGAAGTGTGACTTACCAGATCCTCAGCAACAAACCACTTCACCCTACAGACCCACTGCTATTGGGCCACACTGACTGGTGATGATGATGCAGTCTAAATGCTTTGAGTAGATGAGTTCTGGATCTATAGGCAACCCAAAGCCATCTGCCCAGTACTCCTTTCTGCCAGATAGATTCAGGCTGTTTTTCAAAACAACCCACTGTGTCGTTCCACCCACAGCATCCCAGCCATCAGCTCAGGGCCAGCTTCTCCATGGAAAAGGCCAACAAAATCACAGCTTGCTCCCACCAGCTTTAGTGCAAGACCTCAGGGTCTAGCATTTCTCCTCCTAGTAGAGACCAAGTTGCCTTTTGCTCTGTTTCCTTGTGGTTCAAAACCACTGACACCAGAAAATTCACCCCGGATTTACTCCAGGAGCAGTCCAGCACCAACAGAAGTTTCTCATTTATCCATGAACGTGTTATAAGAGATAACAAAAGCTACCTTTGCTCCCTGACAGCTGGAACAAACAGCATGGAAAGTCACAGGGTACACATCTGGCCTTGAAAGCAATTGCACCATTGTGCGCTTTCTGCTGAGGGAAAGAAGTAAAATGGGACAGATGCAAAGGAGGGAATTATTTGTTGGGCCTTTGAAAGGCCAGAGCTCTCAGAGTGAAGACACACAGTCCTCAGGCTGAAGCATTTTGTTGGGACCCCTAGAAGCTAACTTGAGTGAGGAAGATGCTAAGGTGTCTTTTCTCTCTTCACACTTTCTCTAGGCAATACTGAGCCTGGCGGAACTGCTGGCCAAGGAACAGAGGTGAAGGCTCCTGTTTCTTTGTAGCACCAGGATATGGACAACTTTGGGGAGTGAGCACTAATCCGTGCACTGAGGCTCTACTCTTGCTACATACAGCGAAGTAACATGAGCAGCTGGGCTGGGAGCGCATGCTGGTGCCTAAAAACCTCCTTCCACCTGCTGCACCACAGCCAAATCCCAGGGATGGTACTGGTCTTCCTTTGCATTTTCCCACAGTCAGCAAAGGGAAACTGTTAACAAAGAGCTGAATGTTGCTGTTACCTGCCAAGAGAAGACCAAAGCTCCCATTATTCTTCAGCTTCTAAGTGTGAGGGCAGGTATTCTTGTGGCCATAGAAAGTAAAAACTGGGGATAACATGATCAGACACTGCCCATGGAGCATTATTTGCTCTGTGTTGGCACTGCCGTAGGTGTGCAGGAGTGCCAGGTGGAGTTCAACTGCCAAGGGATGATGACACAGTTCCTGTCAGCTCATAGCAGAGTGCTAAGCAAGCTGGGATGGGTTATCAAGACATACAAAACATGCACATTGCTGGGAACGCAGAGCATCTGTGGTAAAGTGAAAGCATGTTTTACATTCTCAGAATTTCTCTTTCCTGTCTCCAGGCAGCATGTGGCAATTACGACATAGGGAAAGGTTGCACAAAGAACTTTGACCCCATCTGTGGCACAGATGATGTCCTGTATGGCAACGAGTGCTTGCTGTGCGTTCAGAACATGTGAGTATCCAGGCCTGCTCAAAGCCTAAATACCACACAGATGATGACACCGGGATTTCCTAGACAGCAGGCTGTCTGCATGCAGCTGGGTGGAGCATGGGCAGCGAGCCCAGCACATCTGGCACACATCTGGCCTCCCGCCGACGCTGCTCAGAGCATGTGGGCTCCTGCTGTGAAATAGGGCTGCAGGCTGTGCCCATCTGCCCACACACCGCGATCAAATGGCCAACATCTCCCCACACCTGCAGCTGCTGAGCTGTGCCGTGGCCCAGGCTGTGCTGGAGGCTGTCCAGAAGCTCAGACAAATGGCAAAACCTGCAAAGCCTGCCCGGATTTCACATGCAGGCAGAGAAGCATTTGTTGGGGTGGAGGAAATACTCCGCTTTTCACACCAGCACTTTACAGCTGAGCTCTGCTTTCTGTCTTCTCTGCATCTGAAAGGTTACAATTTGCTGTGGATATTTTTAAGAATAAGCCTTTATTTAATCTGTGCTGGTGCCAGATTGCAGAAGGCCGGGACCAAAAGCCAGTGAAGTGTCTGGCAAGACTTGATTCATTTCATCTATCTTGGGCCCTAGGTAATTCTGAGTATATTTATATATTGCAAGTGCTCCATAGCAGACAAGTGAGGGAATTACTTCCAACTCAATGCTATTAAGTACTTGAAAATCTCTGTTGGGAAGAGCGAGCCTGTTCCATAAGCAAGTGCTGCAGTCTGCGAGGCTAAGGGAGCTTCACACTAGCTTTCCCTGCTGGGTTTGGGGTGACCACACTCACTTGCCATCAGCAAAGACATCTCCAACAGGAGCTCAGATTCCAGTCCCTTGATAAATGGAGCTGTGGAGCTGAATTCTGGTTTTTTTTTAGAGCACTGTCAGCTGCAATAACAAGGAACAGAATCCAGATCAGCAAAGAGCCTGGATGAGAACTGTCGGTCTGGCTGGCCCCTGTCCTTCATTAACTCAGGCTCCAGCTCCATATTCTGTTCTTTTACACTTAAAGAAAATGCAGTAGGGCAGAGAGGTGCCGAGCAGGATCTCCAAATGAAGGCACTGCAGTTAATGACACGGCACGGCCATAATGACCATGCTGGAAGCCAGCAGCCCAGCACCAGCTGCCGGCTGCATTGTGCAGCAGATGGGGGTGGGAGGTTCGTCAGACACAACATCGTTAAGGCCTTGGCCAGAAACCAGGAGAGTGAGGAAGGCTTCGAAGCCATGTGAGCAGGGAGCAATGCAACATCAAGGGCTCCACGTCTCCTTGGTGCAGAGCACAGCTTTGGTGGGGATGGGGATCTCCATGGTCACGGGGGGGAAAGTGAGGGGTACCAAAAATATTTTCCTTATTTTTGATACAGAAGCAGGCACATGGGAGGCTGGGAGCAGGCCCAATCCAAGCAAAGTGGCAGACATTTGTCTGCAAAAAATTCACACAAATAGAGTTACGACCTTCAGCATCTCCAGCCAGGCATTGGAAGGCATTGGAAGTGACTGACATTAGTCCTGCAGCAAGGAGGTGAACTGTTCTGCCCGGAGGCAGTGGGAAGTGCCAGCTCTCTGCTTATTGGTTAATTAGTATTAGCCTATGCCCCTGATAACCCTGAACTCTCTGTCAAGAGTATGTGGGCTTACTTAAATGTAATGCTTAAAGGAAGAATTAAGCAGTATTTTTACTTCTATCCTCATCCCCTGAGCCAGGCTTTTTGAGTCAGGGACTTAAAGGCATCCTCTGGCACTTTTAACCTCTCTTCCAGGCAAAGGCACACTAACGTGCGCATAAAGAACAGGGGAAAGTGCCAAGAGCCCTCTCCACGCTCCAGAACTGCTTGAAATTAAAGGCACAGCTGTGATAGAGAAGATGGCATGAAGGTATTCATCACCTCTACAAACTCCAAATAAACTGGAAGCATGACAACTGCTCACTCTGGGATTTCTCTTACACACAACACACCCTTTTCCCCAGCACTTAAAAATACCTTCCTGAAAAACGTGGGGAACTTTGGTAACACCCACACAGAGTACTGATGGAGCCCCAGGGGGAAAGTCCAGGTCATTCCTAAGAACAAGGAGTCTCCCTATAGCATAAAGAATCCCATTTTCCTAAACTTCCCATAGGGGATATTTTAAGCATCCTCATAACTTTGAGTGACGTTTGCTAAAAGCAAGGCATCAAAGCCCTCACTCCAGGGCTCTGCCAGGACAAGAGGACCAATAGGTCCCCTCGGTGGTCGCAGATCTGCCTTCTCCATGCAGCGCAATGGAGCACTGGCCCTGAGGGCCACGGCCACTCGGTGCCCGAGAAAGACGATCAGTCCGCAATTTTTCCAGGGGGTTAAAGAGAAAGAAAGAAAAAAGGCTTTTTCTACCGTGGCCCCGCTGCTGCCCCCAGGGCTGGCACCCCGTGAGCAGGAGCTGCTGCGAGGACGGGGCCGGGATGCGGAGGTAGGAGGTTTGGGCGCTGGAGGCCGCTGTTGCTCCGCGGAGCCGGACCGGGGCCGCAGCTGGAGGTCGGGGCAGCCCCGGGAGCGGGCACGGCGAACCGGCACAGCCCGGCGGGTCCCGCAGCCCGGCGGGGATCCGGTCCGGTGCGCGTCCTCCGGCCCGGCGGCCACAGAGTACCGGCAGGGCTCGTTATGGGCTGGAGCATCTTGGCGTTCCTCGCGAATCATAGCCCTTGAACAGATGTCTGGTTGTCTTTTGAGCAAATCAAATGCTTTGTTCTTCGCAAATCTTGAAATTCAGTTTGGTTAGAAACAGCTGCTTAAGTCCTCTTTACGTCCTTACGAGTTCTCTTCTTTGAAGCGGTGGCTGATGCATTAAAAAAAAAGTGCATGATCAGGCTGAGAAGAAAGCTCCAGCACTCACTTGAAATGACAGCTGCAGCCAGATGCAGCCGGGGGGTGGGGGGACAGCAAACCACGTCTTCCCAGGTCTGCCAGCAAGTCTGCGGTCAAGGGAGAGATGAAAAACGGCTCACTTTGCACCTATGTAAAATTAATGCACTGAAGGAGGAAGCCTCAAATGCACTCAGGAGTGCATACTGCATCTATGCCTTTGCTCAAAGGGGATACTGGAAGTGTACCTCCCTGAACTGGGATATTTCTAATTCTGCTGCATCATGAGGGTTGGAGCACAGCATTTACCTTAGAGCTCTGCAGCCGGGGGGTAGGAAGGCAGCCTGGGCCCCATGTTGCTCACTCACTGCACCTGGACTTTGTGGCATGGTCAAATCCAGCTTAGTGGTCCAGATTGGTTCCTTCCACCCAGACAGCACCACTGAGGCTGCGCTGAGGCCAACTAATGCTGAGAAAAATATCTTTCCTGTTCATGTCTGTTCTGGGAAGCACCACCCAGTATTAGCCAAGAGCATTTGTTGATGGAGCGAGGTGCTGTCCGAGCTCACAAAATAGGGGTGATATTGGCCAGATGGCTGAGCAGCGTTGCATCTCCCCAGGCGCTGTTCTGACAAGGACCAGGATTTCTGTGAAATGTCAGTCACGTCCATTTCACAGCAAGATCCATTTCAGGCTTGAGATCAACGAGCAGTAACAGAGGACCAAAGGGCCACCCTGCACAACGGGCAGACCTGGTGGCAGGCTCCCAGAAGGGACCACCTTCAGCCCACATCCCAGTTTTGGTGTAAACAAACCTCCATCAGGCCTTGATATTGGGGTGGGAGTCCTTCAATACAGTGTCATAGACTGGTCAGTACCTCCAAAGCAGGCTTGGGAGCAGCCTCAGGGAGGTGACAGTGACAATGACCAGGCAGCCAGGGACAGACAGCCCTGGGCAGCATTTGCTGATTGGTTTCTTACAACTTAGACTTTTCTGCCAGCAGAAATTTTGGAGAAATCCAGCTAAGGAAACCCTCCCCACATCGACTCTGATAATGCTCCACAGGGAAATACTTATTCCTATCATTGATGGCATTTGACTTTATAATGTCAAGATAACAAACTGCTAAGTCAAGATTAGAACAGCAATGAGGAATTTTAAAGACACAACGCTTCAGCTGAGCAGAAACCCTGGAATTTTGGTAGCTTCCAAATATTTCTGTTGGAAAGAGGCAGCATAGGCACAGTCTTCACGCACTGCAGCCTTCCCCCATATAAAGACTTCTATTTTAACAAGTTTCCAACATCAGTTTGCTTTTCTGTTCTGAAAACACCCCTCTTGTCCCTGCTGCAGCTGCCAGGGGCACTCTGCAGGATGTGTGCCACTCCAGGAGATGTTTTCTTTCAGGGAGCCGCATTGAACCCATTTTGGAAAGCTGGCGAGAGGAGGTTCCTCTTTGCAGAGGTTGAGAAGGAAGTGGGCTGGAGTACAGGTCTTTTCCAAAAACGTAAGCACGTGACTAGTTGTGTGAAGGAATACCACCACCAGAAAACCAGAAGTCATGTCCTTCCCTGCACATTCTGGTGTGATGATGCTCACATCGCTGGTGGGTGCTGGAAGCTCTCTTTTTCTGGCAGATGGTGCTAATGCAGCCCAAAGCCACAAAGACTTCAGGCTAGTGCAAGTGTCCAGCTTGCAGGCTGCAAATGTCACTCTCAGGAACCAAGAAGTGATACATGAATCAGAGATCCCTAGCAGCCCTCTTTCCTGAAATCAGCATCCATGCTGGGGAAGGGGAACAACAGCCTGCCCTGCAGAAGGAGGGTGCTCCCTATGTCCCCTACCAATGTCCTCACAGGCACAGATGGTGCTGAAGCCCAGGAGTATGATCCCAAGGGCCAGGTACTGGCTGGAATGCAGGGGACAAGCAGTAGTAAGATGACACAAACACCTGATGTAAAACAAGATAGAATGAGCTGCCCCAGACCCAGCCAGACACTAAACAGCCACGGCTTCACTGCAGTTTCTATTAAGCTGAAAGCATTTCTGAATGCCCCAGTGCTCAGACAGGATTGGAATGTTGCACCATGGAGTAGAACAGCTGCACCAGCAGCTCCCCCCTGGCTGCAGACCTTAACCCTACTACCCTATTCCACAGCCATTGCCCAGAAGTTTCAGTGCTCAGCGGCAGCCACCAACATGCCTGAGAGTTTTGCCTATGGGATGCACAAAAGAGATGAGCACAGCAGGTAAACTACAACAGAGTTCAAGGGCAAGGTCTTTCCCTGAAAAGATTGTTTGAAAGATTAAAGATAACGTGGCTCAGTCAGGAAACGTCCCATTATTCCTGCTGTTCCTTCCTAATCTGGATTGATAAAAAGCTCCCAGCACTGGGAAAGCAAAGCACTACTACTACTACTTCCCCAAAAGTCATTAGGAAAAGTCATTCACATCTGCATATACAGAAGCAAACAAGCATTTTCTGGTCCCACTTCTGGCACAAGCTTTCCACCCCAACTCAACTCCTTTTAAAGATAATTCCTGCCTCAGAGGCAGCTAATTATCCACAATGGTAAGTCTATACTTTCCAGCTCTCTTGAAGCCAAAGCACAAGCTTTGACCTAAATAGGACATCAGGACCAGGAAACATATATTTAGAGCTGCATAGCAGAGCTGTCACTCTCAGAAATAAAGCTCATGAGAGCAAGGCCTCCTGCCGTAACCAGTCCTGACAGTGGAAATTTCCCATGAAAACAAATTCTCATCACTGGGGGTTTTGGGTGGGCCATGCAGCTCCCTGGTGCGGCACAGCGCACAGCTTTCAGGTTTTTGGGTCTCATCTATGTCTGCAGTTCTCACCTGTTCCTGGAAAACCCAGTCCATAGGACACGAGGCAATGGCCTTAAGTCGCACCAGGGAAGGTTCAACCAGGTTGGATATTAGGAAGCATTTCTTCTTGGAAAGAGTAGTGAAGGTATTGGAAGAACAGGCTGCCCAGGGAAGTGGTGGAGTCACTGCTTCTGGAGGTGTTCAAGAAGAGGGTATATGGGGCACTGAGTGACATTGTCTGTGGTGGCCATGATCAGGGGTTGATGGTGGAACTGGTTCATCTTGGTGGTCTTCACAATTCTACGAAAGCATTGCCTGAATGACACACCAAAATGCAAGCACAGGAACGAGCTCCAGAACCAGGTCATCAGGGACTGCACATGCTGGAAACAGCAGGATTGTCATCCTGAAACCTTTGAAGGCTTCCTCATCTGAAACCCCTACACACACATAATGGCCAGCAAAGTGGAAGCAAGAGATGCTCAGCACAATGCTCAGGTGGCCCCTCCAGCCTGCCACGGTACACCAGCTTCCACAGAGGGAGCCTGAAGTCTGTTCTCTGTTGTTGCTGAAAGCATTTAAGTTTGAAGAGTCCTCCCAGAAGCTCCTTGACTCCCTGACCCCGAGAAATGAGCCAGAAACCAGCCTGGGACACACAGAGCCTTCACAAAACTGTTTCAATTCAGCCAAGAGGCGGAAAGGAACCTCGGAGGACGACTAAAAATATCCCTGCCAACTCGTACTCTGGCACTGTGCCTAATTGGGCACTGCCCACATCGGGAGCAGTGTGAAAACCCGGCGCTGTGCGGCTTCGCTGGGCAGGCTGCAGGTGGGAGCTGACAGCAACGCCTGCCCCTGGATAGCTGGGATGGGAAACGTAAGGAGAGCGGCAGGAGGTGCGTAAATGTAATTTTCTCTTCCTCTGATCGAGCGTGCTGAAGAATAGCTTGCCCATGTTAAGACAGTGTGAATCCACTTCGTCAATATATAAAAGTCACGAGGCTGTTGCGCCAGTCAGGGCAAGAGGTTTTATTTCTAGACTGTCAAGGGAGACAGAATTCTTTAGAAAAATCAATGAAATTTAAATGAGGACATTGGAATGGCTGCTCAGCCCCAGAGGCCCACCTAGGCAGGTACTGCGCTTCCAGCACAACATGTCCTCCACCAGGAGAACACGGCTGCACAGTTCCCTGTGGCACCACGGACATGAGAGACACGCAGTGATGTGAACAGCACAGGTCACTGCCA